AGTTTTTCAGGCTTGAATTGTTTTTGTAGGCCCTTGGATAGTTCACAGGCTGGTTTTAACTAACGGATAAAGTGGCCTTGGATATGGTTAAGGAATCTGACCAATGAAAACATACTAAGAAGCAGTTTAATTACTTGGCCTTATCTCCCTTTTAAACGGGAACATGGGCAATCTATGGGCATTAAATATATATTGGCAGATGGGTAGGGGCAGAATTTTTATAGGTGCCCCAAGTGGCATATGGCTAGCAAGATGCCTTAACACTGAGCTTGTTTTCTGCCAGTAAAAGGGATCAAAATAGCTTGATGATTTTCAAATATTTTATTTTAGCCCTAGTACTCTTTTGCAAATGAAATCTTAGAAAGCAAAGAGCAGACCTTAGATGGATAGTTTAACCTTTGAGTCTAACAGGTACACAGGTGAAGTCTGTGAAGGCATCCAGAGGAGCCTCCGTTAGGTGCTTGTAAAGATGAAGAGGTTTCCTCCTGATCCAGGACTTTCTGAGGCTTTGAATAGATCTTAGCTCTAAAGACTAATATAGTGTTTTTTCAAACCTCTTTAACAGGGACAGAGTAAAAAATAAAGTTTGCTTTAAGACATAGTACACATTCTGGAGCACAAGTTTCATGAAATAGGCTTTTATACTGTAGAACAAAAGATTGTCCCTGCCCCACTCCTGGCCTGAGTCAAGGATGTTTTGGGAATATAAGACACAGACTTATTCTTGGGGATAAATAATTCTTCTCATCAAATACTTAAGCAATTTTGTGATGAATTTTAATGGGATTAAGACTTTTCTGAGAAAGCAATTACTAACATACTAAGTTCCTATCAACTTGCAGAGAAGAAATTAGTGCCTTTAGTGTCTTTTACCATCTTTCAAAAAATACTATCCTTCACTACAACTTTTTCATGTACTGTGATAACAATCATTTTTGTTTCACTAGTTTCTTTTTCTATAAATTTCCTGTCAATAGATACCTGTTGGACTGGCCTCATAGAAGCCTATTCCCTTGGGGCAACATTATATTGGTTTATAATTAAATTGCCCAAATTTCTCGTTCCTTCCTTTTCTTCTCTGTTTCCACCAGTCTCTCTATTTTAAACAGTTTGATATACTCGGTATTTTTTGTTCTACTTCATTTTTTAAAAAATGGTGACTGTGACCTACTGAATTGATTTCACCAGCCTTTAATAGCTTTGATTAGAACCTTAAAAATCACTGGATACACTCCTGTTGGGTCACTATATTAAGAGAGAGCACATTTCACTATGAAATGAAAATAGAGAAGGAAACCAGGTAAGATGAAGGCATGTGGTAGGAGGTGAAGAGCCCTCTTCTCAACTTAAAAGAGGTAAAAATTAAGAGGCAAGCCACAAACTTTGAGAATATACTCACAATGCAAATAAACTCTGTTCAAAATATTTAAGACTCATAGAATCCATAGAAAATGAGAAATAAAAATGAGCAAAGGTTATGAATAGGCATTTCACAAAAAAGGAACCTGCACAGATAGTAAGTACATGGAAAGAAGCTGTACCTTACTAGTAGATAGGAATGAACAGAGACCATAATCATTAAAACTTGGAAACTTGGAAGAGGGAACACATAGAGCTGAAACTCTGACCACAGTGGGATGCAACTGGGCATTCTGGCACATACCTATAATCCCAGCACTAACGAATGCTGAGGCAAGAGGACTGCAAGTTTAAGTCCCACCTGAGCAACTTAGTAGGATCCTTTCAAAATTTAAAAATAAAACAAAAACTGAATGAGGATGTAGCTCAGTGTGGAGGCCATGGGGTCAATCTCCAGGACCAAAATAAATAAAATGCCACATGAGGAGTGGCATGCAAAAGGCTGGTGCCATGGGTGGTAAAAGAATCTACTAATGGTCAAGGAATATAGAAAAGTTAATAGTTTATCAATACACTGCAAGAGAACAGCTGGTGAGTTCCAAGAAAGGAAGGTACCCCCAGGGAAAAAGCAGGGATCTTTGTATTTGATGTTAACATGAGGAGCAGGTCTGGGCAGTTATCCTAGGGTAATTTCCACTGGGTCATAGTGGTCTTATTTCCCATCCACCTCAGATCTAGGGATACCTGGGTGTTGTTTGAAGACTGACTTTACGTCTTTGACAGGGTCCAGTACCCTTGGAGTTGCTAAAACAACCCCTCCAGATACAGTCTCTTCAGGTAAAATTAACACATGTGTAAAGATTAACTAAGGATAGTGGCCAAAGGGGTGAGGATAAAGTATTTGTGTTTACACTTGTAAGCTGAAAGTTGTGTTGGGAGGAAGGAAGAAATACTATCCTTTAAGACTTATCGAGTAGTTAGAGCATCTAGTGTTGTATGTGTAGTTGGTGCATGGAAGCCTGCAAGGTGGGAGGTTAATGTTATACTACAGGTTCACCACTCAGCTGCAATGTGGTTGTTAAAGAAATAATGGTAAAATAATCATGATTTCCTACAATAGATAAATAAAAAAATAAAGTACAATAAAAATGGGTTCTTGAAACAGAAAAGTGAAAAGTGGATTTAGCTGTTCCTAAGGGAAGAAACTGCTGCCGCCAGGATGAGGTGCTACTGTGTGCGTATACTCTGAAGAAGCATAAGGTAGCAGGAAGGAGACAGGAAGCACTGCCCCTGTCCTCAACACTTGCATACTTCCCCTCGTGCCTTTTGTTGGCAGAGCTCAACATGAAGCCAGGTAGCAAAGCAGAAGTAGGCTGAGACCTAGCTTTAGCAACAGCTGAGCACAGGAGTTTGGAGCCAAGGGACAAAGCCGAACTGCCGCAGTCAATCCTATTTGCCAAGCAGCATTTACAATATATCACTTCTTCCTCAAAAGATGCACTAAGTCCCAGAAGTCATTGTACTCATCTCTGAGAGACAGTGATACCATCTATCTTTGGGATATAAAAATAACTCCACAAATTTGTTCACACTTCCATCTGAATATTCTGTTACCTAGAAACTAATTTATAAACTTAATCTCCAAAAAATTTTGTATTAAGTTACAGGGAGGAGGAGGTTTCTGGCCAGAAGGGCAGAGATTCACCCTCTTACCTAGAATAACTGAAGGAACAATTCTGGCTGCAATGCAAGGAGCAAGAACTTTGCAGAGTCCTATTGTCTTCCTGAGCTGAGGAGAAAAAGCTGCAAGTACTGTACAGGGAACTAACACAGCTGGGTGCATAGGGAAGTACACAGAAAGTGAGAGTGCTGCACAGAAAGAGAACTCCAGAGATGAGTAAAGGTCTCCATGAAGTACAGTATTCAGCTGAGAACTGATTATTGCATGTGTGTGAGGAAACTAAGTTAAGAAAAGTGCTACTTGAAGAAACGGAGCAGTCCCCAAAGCTCACAGACACTGTGAATAGAGGTTGTTCCCAACAAGAAAGGTAAAAACCACAGAACTCAGGGGGATCCAGGAGAGGACTTAGAATTTTGTTTGTGCTTCAGTAGTAGGAAAGCATTAATTTTTCATTTACCATTACACCATATCTAACAAATAGCTTAAAATCAAGACCCAGAGGAGAGCACCCCATTTCCAATTAACTTAATGGTAACTGGAGGTAACTTAAAAGTTATTAGAACAAAGTTTCAGAATATTTTGTATTTGTAGGGATAGAAAAATAGCCCACATTCAGTATGGTTAAGATTCACATGGCTGGCATGCAAACAAAAAAATCAGACACAAAAATGTAACAAAACGTACAACTCATAATAAGGAGAAAAAACAATCAACAGAAAATATTCCAGAGATAACACAGAATTAGACAAAGGTGTTAACATAGTTATTAAAATTACATTGCATATGTTTAATAAAGTAGATGAAAGGTTGAACATGTCAGTAGATACAAAACAACAGAAAAGAATGTATTTTATATATAGAATGTAAAATAAAAGACCCCCATTGAACTACTAGAGATAAAAACAATAATGAATGAGATTTAAGAACATACCGGATGGCATTTATAACAGAGAAAAATGATTAATGAACTTGAAGACAAAACAATAAAAACTATTCAGTGAAACACCGAGAAAAAAAAAACACTTAAAAAAAAAACAGAGCACCAGTGAGACCTAAGGTAGCTTCAAGTAGCCTACCACAGCTGTAACTGACATCTATGGAGAGGAGGAGAAAAAAAATAATTGAAGAAATAGCCGCCAAACTTCTCAGTTTCATTAAAACTATAGAGCCAAAGATACAAAAAGTACAATGAACCCAAAACACATGAAACATGAAGAAAACCACCTCATGGCACATCATAATCAAATCATTTAAACCAATGTTAATTTTGAAAGAAGTCATAGAGAAGCCCATGTACACAGGAATAAAGGATAGAGCTGATTATTTTGGTGGACAGCGAGGAAACACTTTTAATATTTGGAAAATGATTTAAAAATTACCCAGCAAAAATATATTTTAGATATTCATTCCACAGCACCAATGTGAGAAAAAAGCCATAGCAGTTCCTACTTGAAGCCATGTGTCTATAATTCTAGACACATAGAATACTTAGAATGGAAAGGGCTTAGGCTATTAACAGGAGCATCAGAGGTAAAAGTTATTTAAACTAGTAGAGGCCAGGTCAAGAATCCAGGGCCTGGATGCTTGTATTCATCATACTAAGATGGGAGCAACAGAAAGAACAGAGGAACAGTTTTCTGGAAAAGTTAGATAAGGACTTGAGCCAAATATTTTGCTGGCTGGACTCCTGATTTTTCCTATGGCTTCTGTAGTCTGGGGAATCAGTACTCTATCAATACCATTTTTGGGGGCTGGGGATTTAGCTCAGCGGCAAAGCGCCTGCCTGGCAAGCGCAAGGTCGTGAGTTTGATTCCTGGTACCGGAAGAAAAGACCAAAAAAAAAAAACCATTTTTTCCCCATTTCAAATATTTCCAACAAAACAGACAGTAAATACTTGTGATCAAATCTGTAAACTGCCCTTAGTTTCTATATAAATAGAAGAGAATGAGAAGTGCTGACTTATTAGAAGGATTTGTACTAAGTTTTATTTAGTTTTTCAAACTAACTTGGCTGGCTACAAATGATGGTAAGTCACAACGATTACATAGCACAATAAATCCAACTGATTATTAGATTCGGTCATTAAAGGCTTTCTTGGTTTGGAGTGAAGGACTAGTACTACTCTTTACTCATTACTGTACACACATTGTACTTAGCATTATATAATAAGGTCACAGGTACAACAGCACCATGTTCTTTTGGAGCTTCCAGGAGCAGATACTGTGAGGAGCACAGGATGGCACAGAGTATGGGCAACACACATAATGTGCAGGTATATTAAGAATTCTGAAAAGCAAGCATCTTTAATAAACAGGATCATTTTAAAGCTACGGGACCTGTAAAACAGGTCCCATATGGCAATTTTTTTCCTTCAGGTTTCTGACCTGTATCTCTTTGAACTTTGGCTTGGAAATATGAATAAATGAAATATGGAGGAAGAAATCCTCTTATGAAACAAGGATAAGAAAAAGAAGTCATCAGGCTCTTGTACCCTTTCTGGAGAATCAATCAAGCAGAAATCGGGTGTTTGGCTTTTCCAGTGTCACGTTCAAACCAGTCTTCTAGGTACTATTAAGAAGGAGGACAGAAGCAGTCAGTTAATGAGAAAGGTCCAGAAGATACACAGCAAGTTTCTGAAATTAGTTCTTTTTAGAGGCTGGAAATAGAAAAGAATGATGACAAATTATTTTAAAACTTTTAAGTAGCTTTGAATTATCTAATTGCTATTTAATGAAGCACAAATAAATCTTGAAATACAAATATTAATAAGTTTAAGTAACTATTTGTTCACTTAAAAAACAGTTAAAAGTATTTGCATATAACACATAGCATGTCATTTTAAAAAGAACTAGTAAGCTGGCCAAACACTAAAATTCCAAAGGCCAATTATTCATTTATAGCCAACATTTTTATGAGGCATGGGGTAGCCTCTGGGGTTTATAACATTTTTTCTGACCTGAGCTCTTATTCTAAGGAACAGCCCAGCACACTCCCCTGGAATTAAATGAAGAAACATGAATGATGAGTTAGCATAGTGTCTGGAAGTAGTGTTTGCTCTAACTCATAAAGGGGTTCCATATAATCAGGGTCATTTACATCCTGCCAAGATGGAACTTTCTTGTCCTCCAGCGGTAAATATCACATAAATTACTCACAGCAGGGGTGAGGGCTCCTCAAAGTGCAATATATCACTTTCCTCTGGGAGTTCCTGCAGTGCTATAAATAGACATTACTTCTAACCCTCTCCCATGATGTTTCTTAGTCCTCCCTACAACATGCCATGCATAAGTGGGGTGCTTTCCTAGTGGACCACGCTCTAGCTTTCCATGTTGCTAGGATCTTTAGTATTTTTCAATTTTGGTACTATTGTCATTCTGGGACCAGGGGTTCACTGCCGTTGGGGTGCCTGACTTGTGCACTGTAGGATATCTGGCCTACAGATATATCTGGCCTACAGATATATGTAGTACTGCTGGCTTTTACTCACAAGATTTCATAGCACCTTCTGTGTCCCCTCTCAAACAAAAATGTTTCTAGATATTGCCAAGTGTCACTGAAGGACAAAATCATCCCCCAGTTGAGAACCACTGTCCTATATCATAAGACAGAAGACAGAAAGATATTTTTAAAATGCAAATTGCATCATGTTACTCCCTTGTTAAAAACCCAAAGGTCTTCTATTGAGCTCAGAGTAAAACCCAAGCTCCTGTGCCTTACAAACTGCTCTAAGAGCTTTTCCTTACCCACTTTTAATCTCCTCTTTCCCATACTGTGCTCTCCCTCACTTACCAAACTCCAGCCACACTGGTTGTCTCTCTTTTTTTTAAATATCCCAACCATGTCCCCATCCATCTTCTATACTTACTGTTCTTTCTGCCTGGAATGCACTTCCCCTAGAGCTCCATATGACTCACCGTTCACCAAAGCAAATCTCAGATCAAGTGTTACTTAATCAGCAAGGCCTTTCCCAACCACTTTTGCTAAAGAGCTTCTTTACCCCTCATTCTCTGTCATATTATCCACTTTTTCCCTTCAAAGAGCTAATAACAATAGAAAAGACTTCTGCTCTTTCATTTGTTGTCTGCCTCTTTACCAGAGCAAAATCTCCACCAGAGCAGGAACTCTGTTTTTCTCTGCTATAACAAGTCTCAGACTTGTTATTTATTGGGTGGGTACCCAATAAATACTCCTCTCTCCTGCCTTCTTCAAGCCTCAGTTCAGGTTTCAGTGATCTCTTACCTTCTCTTCTAAGATTATTTTTGGTCATTGGTGGATTTACTTTGGATTTTTAAAAAATCTAACCTCTGTAAAAAAAAAAAAGTGTATGTAGTAGTATCATGCACAAAAACAACACAAAAAATAACATAACTGAGTGTGGTGGTACATGCCTGAAATCTCAGAACTTTTTGAGGTAAGGCAGGATGATCAAAAGTTTGAATCAAAACTGGGTTACTTGGCAAGATCCTATCTCAAAATAAAACATAAAAAGGTTGTAGGAACGTAGATGAGTGCAAAGGTCCTGGGTTCAATCCCCAGAGCCACACGCATGGGGGGGGGGATAAAAAGACCCATATTTTATTATTTTGGAACATAAACAAAGACCAGTTCATAATTTATGCCCCAGAGATTTTCAGCGGCCGTACAGTCACTCCAGGAGTCATAATTTCAGTTTGGTTTCTCTTCCTAGGTTTTAAGTGGTGAAGTCTTTTCGGGGCTAAGAATCAAAAACTCACCTGGTTCAGAGATTCAGTCTCTTTGTTCATCAACTCAATTTACACAGGATCATGGGGCTGAACACCTTTCGTCCTGGCTTCCAGTTAAAGTAGTTCACTGGGTCACAAGCAGGATAATACAAGTGCAGTACGGTCAGTAAAGGCCAGAAAGGGCAGCGAGGCCATTTCTCACATTGATTTATGGGCTGTTTCCATGAAACCAAAGATGACTGGTCCTCTTGGCAGCTGGCTGACTGGATGCTAGAAGCACTTCTGTCCTGGCTCCTGGCCATGGCCCTTGGCGAGTATTTCACCGAGTGGTTTTCAGGTTCTGGCGCGCAGCTTGCTTGTCTTGCTGGGCCGTGCTCTCCACGCGGTGCAGAGAAGTCTCCACCTGCAGGGATGTGGCCCTGATATGGCGGGAGGACGTTTCTGTGCGCTGGGAGGAGGTTTCCACGTGCTGGGAGGACACCTCGAGGACGTAAGGGAGCCGCTTCCCAGATAGGTAACGAGGAGGCTCTTCACAGCGGCGCTGGGTGGTCTCCACCTGCCGGGAAGACGTTCGCACTCGTCGAGATGACGTCTCCACGCGGTGGGACGATGTCTCCACGCGGACTGTTGATGTCTCTTTGCAGTGAGCAGTCTCCACTCGTGGAGCAGAGGGTTTTCCCCTCAAAGGTGAGGCCATTCTCCTCGTGTGAGTGGGCCAAGGAGAGCAATAGGACCTCCGCAGGCCTGACAGCCCACTGTTACACCCTCAATCACGCCTCTGCGTTACGCCATAGAGTAAATGACGTCAGAGAGGCGTGTGACGTCACTGCAGGCTCAGTGCCGAAAACTAGGATTCTGTCTTAAGACCTGATGATATGGAAGAACCCTGGTTTCTGTGGGGGTCAAACTGTCCCTCCAAAAACACTGGGTCCTGCCCTTCACGTGCTTCCTCGGTTGCGACCCGCCCCCTTGCCGTTTGGGAGCCCGCGAAGGCGTGACCAGGCCGGACCAGGAGGCTAGGGATGGGCGGAACCGACCGCCTCGGGGCGGGGTTATGACCACCCTCTTTCCCACACTGCCCCGCGACCGGAAGGGAGAACCGTGGTTTCCGGAATCTCCTCCCCCTGTCTCCCGCCGCTTGGGGTTGTTCGTCTGTGGTGCGGTTGGCGATTTAGTGTCTTTGCTGGTGATGGCCGCGGCTGTCGCTATGGAGACAGGTGAGTACCGCCCTGAGACTCCAGTCTCTGAAGTAGGTGCTGTCCTCGGCTCAGACCTCTTCCCCTGCTTCCCTGGGGGCCTCCTGTCAGGCATAACGCCCGGCAGGGTTAGAATTGGGACCAGGAGGGCAGTGGGCTCTTTTAGCGTCTGGAGGGGAGAAGTCAGTTTTGCCTTTTTCAGAATTTGGTTTGGTCGAACATCATTTCTTCGAGCTTACTTTTCAAACATCGACCCCACCGACTGGCTCCCTGGCGTAGGCTAGACTACTCAGATCTTAAACTGTATCCTTTTATTGGTTTTCTGCTTCTCACATGAATTTGAATGTTAAAAATATCGCAGATAAGCTTGTGTATCTTTCAGCTATTAATGAGCCTCACGATTTTTTTTTTTTTATTGTTTTGTTTTTGTTTTGCAGTACTAGGCAAGCGCTCCGCCACTGAGCTGCACCCCAGTCCTTTTTGAGGCAGGGTATTTTTAAGTTGCCCAGGTTGGTCCTGGCTTTGAATTTAGGATCCTCCTAACTCAGCCTCCGGAGTAGCTGGGATTACAGGTGTGCACCACCACACCCATCTGTCACGATCTTCTATACATTATGTAGTTTCTTTTTCACTCTAAACTTTTTTCCTGATTGACCCAGCGTTTAGTTTTTGCCCAGCTTAATTACTGGAAGCAAATGTGGTTATAAAATATTAAAATAGAGGAAGACTGACTTATTACAACCTACGTCAGTGATCACCGTTAACGTACCTATATAGTGGCCAACAGGTCGTTGGTATCCTGCCCATTTGTTTTCCTGTTGTTTTCTTTTTTTTATTACTTCTCTTTAACTTTTTCTTCCTTTTCTTTTTTTTTTTTTTAAACTTTAGAGATACTCTTAACATTCCTTTAATCATGGCTCTTGTTTTTTGTATATAAGGTTTCTCCTGTCTTAGTTTAGGGAGATCACCGCGCACTTTTCATAGAAGAGTATATCTCATTATTAGTCAGGTTCCTTGCTGTTTCTTTTTTACAAAAATATTACGTATAGTAACCTTTACTTTAAACAATTTTTGCTGTCTTCTCTCCTAGATGATGCTGGAAATCGACTTCGGTTTCAGTTGGAGTTGGAATTTGTTCAGTGTTTAGCCAACCCAAATTACCTTAATTGTAAGTTGTTGAGCAACTAATTGAGTATCTAGCTGATTTCTGACAGAAGAAATGCAATGGGTAATATCATTTGCCTTTATACATTCTCAGTTGAATAGGATTGTACTTATGCTTGCCTGTAGATATAGCTGAGCAAACCAGGACATCTGTTTTGACTTCATTGTGTGTTGGTAGTGGGGATGTTAAATAGATTCGTTATATTAGCGATACAAGTTAGTAGTCCAAGGATTGGTTTGACCTGCAGTTTTTTTTTAAATGTCTTTCAGTTCTTGCCCAAAGAGGTTACTTCAAAGACAAAGCTTTTGTTAATTATCTTAAGTACTTGCTTTACTGGAAAGAACCAGAATATGCCAAGTATCTAAAGTAAGTTTACTTTTTATAATCTTAAATATACATATACTTTATTATAATCCAAAACACTGATACTTAGCAGACTGGGAAAAATATATTTTGAATCTCTCCCCTTCTAGTGGTTACCTCTTAAAGAAGTCACTTTTATCTTTATCTTGGAGGGCAGTGAGCTCTTAGTATTTGGAGAGGGGTGAAGACAGTTTTGCCTTTTTTCCGAATATGGTTTGCTTGAACATCATACTGTTCAGACATTGATCCCACCTATGTTTTCTGCTCCCACTCTTACCGTGCTCCCCTCAAACCAAACAAAGCAAATCAGTGTTCTACACGGAATCCAGCATAGTCTTTCAAAAATATAAATATCGGAACATACTACTTTTTTATTTAGATCCTTTCAGTGGCCTTCCATTAAAGAATGCTCAGAAAGTGGTGAACAGGTGTTTTCTGAAGGAGGTAACCTTACTTGAATTTTAGTGATGTTTTCCTTCCTTTTCATTTTGTTTTTGTTTTTGGTTTTTGAGTAAGGGTCTTGCTAAGTATTCTAGGCTGGCCTTGAACTCACTCTGTAGCACAGGCTAGTCTTGTATTTGCAGCGATCCTGCTTTAGCCTTCCAAATGCTGGGATTACAGTTGTGTGTCACCTGGCTGACACGCTGTCTTTTCTTTAGGACCTCTTATGTGCCAAGCAGGGTGCTATATGGTTCACATCCATTCACTGACTTTAAAAACAAAACAAAAATATATACACAGATATATCTACCATTCAGGTTGTTCAGCAGATACTTTTAAAACTTACTAAATGGCAAGAAGCATATTATATTCACAATCTGATTCCATGTTAATGGTAAAACAAAACAAAAAAACCCTTACATTTACACCTGTGCTTTGTCTTACAGGTAATCAAAAGGCAATAGTGAAGGTTTAAAAAAAAAAACAAAAATAAAACTTTGAGAGGAAAATGTTTCAAGTTGTTCTGTATCCAAGTCACTTTTCTTAACTGACAAAGCATATATGCACATGCTGTCTGTAGGACTTTTTGCACCCAGACTAGCTGTTTATGCAACTCTTGATTTAATAATATACAAAACAATTTAAAAAATGAGATTATAATATTTTATATGTAAAGATTTGAACTCAAGTGTGGCAAACCCTTAGCCATCATGTCTCTGTAACCCAAGGTTGCTGAGAAGTGGTCATCTACACTGTAGAGGTTTCTAGTGAGCATGTTACCTCACCAAGGACAACTGACTACAGTTAGCCAGACAGTAGGAAGTTCTTTCTTACATTGTGATAAAGTATACCTTGTTGTAGCTTTCACCTGTTCCTATTTTCATTTTTGGATTCATCCAGACCCAGCCTATGCCCTCTTGGAGACAACAGCTATACAGACACTTAAATTGAAAAGCAGCTATGCTAACTACTCTACCACCAACGCCTCTGTTACACACTTAAATTGAAAGAGCTGGATGTGGAGGCGCATGCCTGTAATCCCAGCACTCTGGGAGGCTGAGGCAGGAGGATCACAAGTTTGAGTCAATTTGGACAACTTAATGAGATCTTGTCTCAAAATAAAAAAAGTGCTGGGGATGTAGCGCAGTGTAAAGGCCCTGAGTTTAATCCTCTGTACCAGACACACGCGCGCACACACACACACACACACACACACACACACACACAGTTGCAGATTAACCCATTGGGTATTTCATCCAGTCTGCATAGTTTTAAATTTTTGAAATAGTTGCAAACCTTTAAAAAAGTGAGGCTTATATAACAATTCAGATTTTCAACCACTTTTGAAAAATTGGGAACAGCTAGTAAGCCCAGGTCTTCATTTTCCCAGATCATTAATTGGCTGGAGCTGAGGGCACCTGCCTGTTGTAGACATCATTTTCCAGTTGAGAACTAGTAATTGCAATGGTAACATCTCTCTTTCTTAATTTACTTTGGCCATCCAGAATTCTCCTAGGAGGTCAGGCACTTTCCTTTGGATAGTTGGCACTTGTGCCTTAGACCATTCAACCAAGAACTAAACATGGCCTTTAGACATGGTGGACCAAGTGGCATTTCCTTTCTTCATATGAATGTTACATTTCAAATAATTCACTTTAGGTTGATGTTACTTTTTTGAGCTAGGGAGGGTAGGGGAGCCCACTGTTGGCTTGCTGGGTACTTTGTGCCAACTAAAATCCTTTATTTCATCCATGTTGTCATATAACTTCTACATTTATATCTTGTTTCTTTTAAAAAAAATCTAAGGGAAGACTTTTTGTACCTCTTCTATTTCATCTTGTTGACTTGTAGCCTATCAGAGAATATTGTAGCCTTTCAGAGAATATTTATAATTCCTAATTCTGTCATCTAATGTATTCTGAGTATTGTTTTCAAGTTTGATATGATAAATGATCACTGGCTGTCTAAATTCCAGTTATTGACTAAATGCTATTTGAGACCATTCTCTTGGTTTTCACATTAATTTTTTTGTAGATGAAGAAACTGAACTTAGGTTAAGCATCCTTTTAGAGGCCACCCAGCTGGTACTTGGATCCAGATCTTTTTAACTATGGTTGCTGTCATGAAAAGGATTTAGTCAGGGCAGTAGGAATAGAGCATTCTATTAGGCTACCAACAATTACAGGCCACTGTTTATTTTCAGAGTGTAAACAGCAAACCTTACTTAGGACAGCATAGTACCAGCACTAACATGGTTCTCTGTTTAATGTCTTCAGACCTGCAGTGTTGGTATTGTTTGGGAGCTTGTTAGAACTGCAGACCTCAGTCCTTACGTTAGACGTACTGAGATGAGAGTCTGCATTTTAAGAATTGATTTCACATGCACATTAAAGGTTAAAAAAGACTGCTCTAGTTTATAGACTATTTCTCAAACATTACTCAATTTCATATCACTTCTATAGTTTTGGCTCTGTGTATAGCCTATCTGATCTAATTTTAATGTATTTTAAATTACTTAAATTTTACTTTTCAATCTGAAATTACTGCACTTACAAAATAGCTGGAAGAATAAAGAGAATTTCTTGTATTCTTCTCCCAGATACTCTAAATGCTAACACCTTATATAACCACAGTGCATTGATCAAAATTAGAACATTAACATTAATTTTATTTGGTATCCTACATATCCCATTCAGATTTTACCAGTTGTTCAACTGGTCTCCTGCATATAGTAATCATGAGTCTAGGCTCATATGCTAATTTTATTGTTATGGCATTTTTTTTTTTTTTTTTTTTTTTTTTTGAGAGGGTTTTGCTGTGCAGTTTAGGCTGGCCTTGAACTTGCAGTAATCTTCCTGCCTCAGCCTCCCAAGTGCCGGGCTTATGGCATGTGCCATCATGCCTGGCTTGTTATGTTTCTTAGTCTCCTTTAATGTGTTCCTTGGCCCTTTTTTAATCTGATGACCAGTATACAGAAGTTGTTCGTGTATTTGGTGTATCTTACCAGGAGTAACATAAAATCTGTTTGTCTTACCATTAGTGACATTAATTTTTATCACTTGTTCAGTATGATGCCTTTTGTGTAAATGTCTCATGGGAAAATACTTTGAGACTATCTATCATATAAACTTTTTATTTTTTTATTTTTTTTGGTCTTTTTGAGATAAGGTCTCGCTATGCAGTTCAGGCTGGCCTTGAGCTCACTTTGTAGCCCAGGCTGGTCTCCAACTCGCAACGATCCTCCTGCCTCAGCCTCCCGAGTACTGGGATTACAGGCATGTGCCACCACGCCTGGCTACATAAACTTTTTTGCCCACTAATTTTAGCATTAGTGAAGATACTTGTCTGAAAAATCTTTACTGTGGGATTTTCTAATTCCATCATTTTACATTAGTTGAGATGTTCTTGTAAGGAAAAACATTCCCTTGTTATTTATTAAAAATATTTATATCAGTGTGGACTTTTGGATTATTTTTATTCTGTGGACTGCAATTATGTTTTTCTTGCTTAAATTATTCTAGACTGGGAGCACCTTCCAAGTGGCTCCTGAGTATTTTTGACATATCCCTATTAAAGTTTAGTACTATATAATGTTCCAAGTTCTCCTTGTGCTTTCCTGACCCTAGTCCTGGAATTAGCCATTTCTCCAAAATACCCTGTAAAAGGCTATTTGAAAAACATGACTGGACAGTAAGTTTGGTCATTGGTACCCCAGTATCATTGCTTCTAGGCCTTTTAAACTAGGAACTGTGTTTGTATATGTTTACACATGTACAAACATACACAATGATGTCTTCTCCTATGTGTATTAAAACCCATGAGTACATACTGGCATTTTCAATTCCAGCCCAGTAACACAGGATTCACTCTAGCCTTCCCTCTTTCCTTATCTGTAACTCCTTTTCTGAGTCAAAAATTTGGCCCTCTTTATCCACTTACACTTACTTGTTCACTCTTCCAAGTATACATAATTTAAAATTTCCATAATTCCTGTGGAAAGCTAGAGCACAGTAAGTTGATTCACTTTTAAATAAAATGTCTTTTATCACTAATGATGGAAAACCAATAGCTATCAGTTATGCACACTTCTTAAATAAAAAGTGCTCATGTTTCTCACCTTAGAAAGTATCAGAATGCAACGGTATGATTTATCTCCACATTTTAAGTCTGCTTACCAGTTACTGTGTTGTGTAGTCTTGAGTAAGTTTTTCTTTTTGAACTTAAATCTTTCCACTTTTGAAGATTTTGCTTAATGACTTTTGGTGACTAGCTCTTTTGCATAAGCAGGGGAAAAAAATCTACACTCAATGTAGCGATTTAATGTTAAAAGAAACTGTAGGCTGCAAGATAATTTAAAATGCGTAACCAAATTAGAACTTAGCATTATTGACTTAAATTATGTTGATCATTAACTTATAAACTTAAACCCAGGTACCCTCAGTGTTTACATATGTTAGAACTGCTCCAATATGAACACTTCCGAAAGGAGCTGGTGAATGCTCAGTGTGCGAAATTCATTGATGAACAGCAGATTCTACACTGGCAGCACTACTCCCGGAAGCGGATGCGTCTTCAGCAAGCCCTGGCAGAACAGCAACAGCAAAATAATACATCAGGAAAATGAACAGCTGGAAATAGCCCAGGGTCTTAAGACATGTATATAATGTATTTCATTGTACAGTGAAGATGAAGTAAGACTCCTCTTCCTATCTACCTTTGTTGTGGTAGCACCTGGAACCTTTAATGTGCTTTTTAACCTGACTTTTTTATTGTTAGTAGATTATTTGTTAAACCAGAATTGCTCACTTTGATTAACCTGTGAATTTGTAAGTTTTTATTAGCAATTAACAATCAACTGGAAATAATGGACTTGTTAGGTGCTTTGGACCTGTTTAAGGAGATGCTGGGCGTGGCAGAAGGGAGGGCCATTAAGTATACAAAACTCTAAGCCTAGTTGTTTCTGAGATACAATAGTGCCTTGGGCAAGTCCATCGCTTGGAACTTACTATCTTTCACATCAGCAGTCCACATGTCTTACCTACAGAATGAAAGGGTTGGAGTCAAGGATCTAAGTCAGAGCAGGAACTACAGTATATAAAGGTTCTTATATTCTGCAGGAGAGGACATACCTATATCGCCCCTGCTTTGCAAGATAGCTTTATGAAAGGATCATTGGTATGTCACTGACCTAGTGAGGGAGAGGGAAGATTGGTGGTAAACTGCTAATTGCTTTTGACCTTAAATTAAAACAAAGATAAGGTGCCTCAAATGCTTCCGCTCATTAGAGAAAGTTAACATTTGGTCAGTACAAAAAGCTAGACGTTACATTAAATGCTTCTATGCATTCTCATTTTTTCCCCCACAGAATTATCCTTTGTAAAGAAGGAAACTGAGGTTTAGACAACTTAACTCACTTGTGGTTACACATCTAGTAAGTGGTAGAATCAATGTGCCTGACTCACAAGCTGATGTTCTTCCCACCACTAGGTTTTGTAGTGTCCAGCCCCTTTTCCTCCCCTGCCTCATCGAAAATGAAGCACATTCAGACAACTATAAAATCTGCCTGTTTTAAGCAGACTGCATTAGGTATGCTATATTTTCGCTCAGTAGTTTGGTTAAGATCTACATTGTAAAGACAAGGAAGAGGTTTTAGGAGTATCACTTGCTTTGCAAATTCAGGGAATTTAAGGTAAAAGATCCTTATTCCCTCAGAGATTTGGGGTAGCTATCCAGGCGCTACTGGGAGCATTTAGTCATTTGTCACCTCCAATCTGTCCCTTTGAACTCTTATTGCCACTGCTGAAAACTTATTTTACTCATACCTTGGAGATACATGTTACAAGCCAGATGAAGATTTGTATTTAGAACAGCATTCTTTATTGCTTAGACATACTGATTTTAACAGATTTATTGCCAACATGAATTCAAAGCAAGTACACAATTTCTTTTATACTAGAGCAAACCAGGAAATCAAGATAACAACTGCCACCATCAAATCTTAATCTTCAGAGAACAACATTTCCACAAGGTTGTCTTGAAGACACTCAGATTCTACCAGTTTTTGAGGCTGTAAGAAAAGAACAGTCAAGTCTTAACCACCACTATGAAATGTTAGCAGGAGTGAAGTGAGTTCTAGCTTGATGACACTAATCTTATAACACAGAAATGTTGCCGTTTAGAAACTATCAACTGGTTATAACAAGTTGATGAAAGTTATTTGCCCCAAGATGAATCATCCTGGCTCAAAGGCCTTGCACCCCAAATACCAGGAAGCTGAAACAGGAGACAACAAGCCCAGTGTTATCCCTTTTCCTTCAGCTCTTTAGTATTGAAGGGGCAGGACTGAAATAGAGGAGACGCTCTTTCAACCTGAATAATGGCTTAAGTAGAAAACTTTTCATGCAAGTGCTTTAAGGAATTATGAGTCAACCACCTTTCTGGCTGTAGAATTGTGAAAGTGGCTTAAAAACATGAAAAAGACCTATTATTTATTTGCATTATTAATAGTTTATTGGGATTGTTCAGGGCAATGGGCAGCCCAGTTGTATGTTTTTGATGCACTGTGAAAGGCACATTTCAAATATGACTGTAGAACAAATCAAGAGGTTTCACAGTGAATTATCGCCCCAACATAAAGATACTCACTGTTCCATATTTCAGTAGTGTAGGCACTGCCGTTATTTTCAGTTTTTTTCTGAAATCATTATTTGGATCTTTCCAACTATTCCCAAAAGAAAAAGTGATCATGAAAATTCTTGGTTTATTATTTGCTTAGTATTTCATAGACTTCATATACTCTTACATTTAGGGTTTTAGTACTTATTTTTTGGAAACATTTAAAAAACATTGAGGACTATTAATTTATTACCCTCTGCAGAGTTTCTAATTAAACTGTGACTAAGATATAAAATAAATGTCAACCAGTTAAGTTTTGAACTTACACTAGGCCAGATTTTTAAAATTACCTTCAAGTAGCTGAACATTCACGTTGTAAATTTCAGCGTGAAGTTCTAATTATTTAATTATCAGATTTTACCTTTGAGCACAGAACCCGAGCGAATCTCCAAGGCCTTTTCCACCTAAGTCTGCAAGAGTCTAGTGCATGTCTGTGAAGTACAGCGCACATTGTCACTTACTACGATCTCTCTCCTACTTGGCAGTAGATGAACACACATCCTTCACCAACATGCTTCAGCCCCGCTCGAACGACTGGTTCAGCTGTTTAAAAATTAATATAGTTACACATCAGTTCTACAATCCCCTCCTTTCTCCCCCAAGACTTGGTGAGTACTCAGACTTTAACCTGCAGTTAGACTTTGAGTTAGCCCAGGAAGTTCACAGAAGTCAGGTGTTCTCTCCAGGTCTTAGATCCTCTTTAAGAGCAAACACCAAGTCCAAATCCTGACTGTCCCCGTGTCACACTCTCAGAACAATGGAAAGCCTAAACACGTGCTAACTAAAAGGAGACCAACTCATCTTGTAAGACAGGGCTTGGGGGAAGTGAGAAGTTTTAAAGAACTGGATCACAAGATCTGGGTCGGAGGGTAGAGGTGCAGCAGCCTGGGCAGGGCGGGGAGGGACTTAACAGGAGACGAGGAGGGCCTCAGTACTGCGTGGATCTCCGGGACCGAGCTTCCCTCCTCTGCTCCTTCACCCCGCGTTCTGGCTGTAGCCCGAGTCCTGGCCTCACCTCGCACACAGTCAGGACACCAGCTTTTCCCTTCAGCATCCTTAGAACCGCTAAAGTAGGCGAAAATGGTCTTGCCCGGGTGCTGCTCCACAGCCCGGCTGAATTCCTCGAAGCCGGACACGCTCAGCTCCTCGCAGGCAGCCATAGGGACAGCACACCACTTAGTGCTAGAGGAGCCCTTTAAGTCCGGCCACTAGAGGGCGGGGAGAACCCGTTTCCGGTGGGTGACGGCAGGGCGGAGCCTTCGGAACCCGCGCTACTCCGCTGGGTGGTGTTACGGGAGCCTCTGCAGACCAAAATTCATCCACATTGTCTTTCTGCTCCAGTTTCTCAGCTATTTCGGTGCTAGTTTTCCTCCCCAAACGAAACTTCTAAGCCCTAATCTGGTTCTAGTTTCGGCCCTATGGACACTGGCTGCAAAACTTGCTGCCGTGCGACACCTAGACCCTTAAGTGGCTCGGAAGCCTCAACGGCTCCCAGCCCACTTTGCGCCTGTTGCTATGACGACTGGGGCGAGTGGCCGGAAGCGGGGCCTACTTCGGCCGCGCGCCCCGCCCGCCTCCCGGTAGCCGTGGCTCACCCCAGGCCAGGTGGGCTTGGGCCCGGGGTGGGGGGTATTCCGGGAAGCAGCGTTAGGCGTCATGAACCTGGGGGAGAGGAGACCTCGAACCGGACAGACCTTGCTCTTCAGTTCCCCCAATTACGTTTTCTCCTGTCTATCTTTAGCGGGGCCCGGGGCTGGGGGGCGGGCGCCCGAGGCTGGGCGGGGGTGGGATTGGGAGGCTGGGAAGGAGAAAGGCTGCGAGGGAGCCGAGTGTGTGAGTGCGTGTGTGGAGCAGCCCAGGGTTCCCGGTGCTAAAACAGAAGTGCTCCGGGGCTTCGTTGCGGAAGGGAATTGTGCTGGATCTCTGAGCGGGGCCACTGGCCCCTGGGCCTTACCCAGGCGGCGCCGGGGCGAGCTAGCAGCAAAGATGCCGGCTCGCTGTGTAGGGCCCAGCAGATGCGGGTGGCGGTGGGGAAGGAGGTGGGGTACAGGGGCATCCCGAGGCAGTGGAGCTAGGCGCCGGGCGAGGTCTTTGATGTGGAAAACGCGCTGTAAGAGTGCACAAAGGCTGCAGCCCTGTCAGCGATCATGGGGGAAGAGGCGGGCTGCGGAGACCGCCCGCGCCGCTGGGGAGAACGAGGCTTTGGGGACGCCAGGGACTGCAGGTTCCACTGAAGCTGCAAGGGATCCCAAGGCGGTGTGGGTGAACGGGGCTGTGGGCGAGCCTGAGGTGGTAGGGCCTGCTGGGTCTGTGTGGGTGACTAGGTCTGGGGAAGAGAAGGCAGACGATAGCAGTCCCCAAGGCTGTGAAAGAAAAGGTCGTCCGGGGACCACGGGGCATGAAAGCATTCTGCAGCTATGGTTGAAGGTACAGGCTATGAGGGCAGCTTCAGGATGTGGGATAGGAAGCAGAGTGGAACTCCATCCTGTGCCTGCGGGAGAAGGGCCAATTGAAAGGGGTATCCCTGGCCTGGCGTCCTGGGTAGAAACAAGCCGAGGTGGTATCACAGGACCTTGGGTGAGAGGACAGGCGAGGGCATTCCCGCAGGTCTCAGGACTGCCCACAGCCACGGGGGTAGGGCCAGGTTGTGAAAAAGCCTCAGGCTCCTGTGGACACAGACAGGCTGAGAAGGTGCCCCCTGTGCTTGCTCTGGGAGCTCTGGAGGAGTTAGACTATGGACTTAGCCCAAGTCCTTGGGGAAGACCACAGGTTGCAGGGCAGCCAGAGGCTGTGGAGATGAAGATGGGCTGTGGGACTGCATCTGCTCAGTGGGGGAGAGCACGGTCAGTGCAGGTTCCTGGGGCTCTGGCACCAGAGGCAGTCTGTGGGGACACCCCAGGCATATGGGGAAGGGGACAGGCTGCAGAGAACCTTGATGTTGTAGTGGTACCCAGAGCTGTGGAGGAGGAAACTACATCTCTGTGTGTCCCAGGGATGTGGCAGAGGAGACAAGAGGTAGGAGATGTAAGCTCTGAAGGTCTCCCTGGAGTATGGGGCACCGGGCAGCCCGTGGGGGTGCCTTGTGTTACTACTAAAGAGGAAACTAGACGCGGGGGTGATCCGAGATTCAGGGAAAAGGGACAGGATATGTGGGTAGAGTCGGGCTCTGGTGGTGACCCAGGGTCATGGGAAGCTGCACAGACAGTAGAACTGTCTGGTCCTGGGGATCAGGAGGCAGGTTCTCAGCTGGTACCCCAGTGCCTGTGGGGTATAGAACAAGCTGTGGGGATACCCAGGACTCTGGGAAAGGAGACAGACTGTGTGAGAGACCCAGGGCTGTGGGGAACAGGACACGTGCCAGAAGTGTCCCAGGCCATGGTGGTACCTGAAGCCAGGAGTGAAGACACCAGCTATGGTGGTGTCCCGGACTTGTGGGAGAGGCAGCAGGTTGTAGAAACTCCGGCCGAGGAGGTGGAAGAGACACACAGTGGGAGTGTCCTGAGCCTGCAGGAAAGGAGGCAGGCCATGGGGGATACAGAGGATCTGGTACCTAGAGCTCTAGGGGCAGCTGGGCCTACCGATGAAGAGGCAGGCTGTGGAGCTATCTCATGTCTGTGTGGGAGAAGGCAGGCTCTTGGAGTGTCCGAAACGGTGGGGCTCCCCAAGGCAGCAGGTGTGACCAGGCACAAGTATTCCCCAGTAGAGGTATCCACATCTCTGGGTACACCCAGATCTGGAGGGATGCCTGCTGCTGTGTGGGCATCTGGCCCTGTGTGTCAGGAAAACAGCTCTAGAGATATTTTGAACCTGTGGGAAAGGGCTCATACTGTGAGAATGCCCTTGGGTTCAGCAGGGACCGTGGCTCCTGAGGAACTGTGGTCTGTGGGAGAGAATACTGGTTCTGGAGCTTTCCCAGGTTCCCGGGGAAGGAGGCAGGCTGTCAGGGTTCCAGTGGCTCCTGAGGCGCCTGGCCCTCTAGTTGTAGAGACTGGCTCTGGGGACTTCTCAGGCTTGCCAGGAAGGAGACCCCCTGTAGGAATGCCTGTGACTGAGGGGGTATCCCCCGCTAGTGGGAGACATGTGGCTCCCAGGGTGCTTAGGCCTTTGTGGGAAGAAACTGGCTCAGGAAGTGGCTCAGGCTTGAGCCAGGAGAGACAGATATATGACAAGAGTTCCGCAAGGATGGGAGTGTCCGCTTCTGCCAGGATGCCTGAGTCCACGGGGGAGAGGACTGGGTCTGGGTGCATCTCAGCCTTGTCAGGGAGCAGGCAGACTATGGGGATGTCCACGGCTGTGGGACTCTCTGAGCCCATGGCGGAAGAGGCACTCTCTGAGGGTCTCTTGGGCTTATTAGGAAAAAGGCAGACTGCTGGGATGCCTGTGGCTGCTCGACTTCCCGTGGCCCTGGGAGTGCCCACAGCTTCTGCGGTCTGTGGGCCCCGGATGGTGGGGGAGGGTGCCTCCGGGGATGGCTCCGGCACGTGGAGAAGGCGACAAGCCACTGAGGCTCTGATTGCTGCCAAGAGTCGTGGGCCCATGGAGAGGGAGACAGACTCTGAAGGTGTCTCAGACCTGTGGAGGAGGCACAATGGACCCTTCCCTGAGACTGTGAGAGTGCCAGAGCCACTGGGAAGCGTTGGAGCTGTAGGAGTTCCTGTAGCAGGGTGTGTGCCTGCTGCAGTGTGGGTGCCTGGGTCCTCAGGAGAAGAAGCAGATGTGGGTATGTCAGGCCTGACAGCAGTGAGCGGACAGTCCACAGAGCGAGCTGAGCCTTCAGGGGAGCAGACAGGCGGTAGAGGTGTCCTGGGAATGGCGGGACGGGGCCAGGCTGTAGGGATGGCTTACACCTGTGGGCGTGATGCCAGGTTCTGGAGCTGTCCCAGGTCTGTGGGGGAAGAAACAGCCCATGAGAATGTTTCCCGATTGTCTGGGATAAGAATGGCTGTGGCAGTGCCCCCAGTTTCAAGGGAGGACATAGGCCCCAGTCATTTTAGAGACCACCCCCAGCAGAGTGGGAGGAGACAGGTCCAAGACGTGTCAGGAATCAGAGTGAGGGGGAATGATTTGAGAGAGAATCGTGTGGGGGAAGACGCACTGAGGGGGGTGTTCTAGTAGTGTGTGTAGGGAACAAGTCAGGGATGTCCTGGGTGCTCTGGGAGGGAACAGGTTGGGGGTAGGTGTGTCCTGCATTGTGGGTAAAGGCACAAGTTGTAGAGATGTCTGGATGGGGGGAGGGTACTTTGTGGAGATGTCCCAGGATGTGTAGGGTGACAAACTGGGAGGTTTCCTGGAACAGTGGGGAAATGGGCTAATTGGGAGGAGAGGAGTATCCCAGGACTCTGTACAGGGGAATGGTTTGGGGTGGGTGTACCTGGTCTCTCTGTGCCCGTGTGTGTGTGTGTGTGTGTGTGTGTGTGTGTGTGTGTGTGTTAGATCACTTGAGGTACCTAAGAACTTGGGATCATGTAGTTTTTTCCTGTTGGAGAATGGACTTTTGGGCCTTTGGCATATGGAAGCATCCAGGAGGAAAGTACTGGCTATGTAAAAGATGCAGTTGCTCTGGCCTCACATCTACAGCCTTTGTGCAGCTTCAGCTTCTGATCTGTGGTGATGTCAAGCCAGCTGGGATTAGCTCACTCGTGTGGCTCCTCCCATCTGCTTTTTGAATCTTGTTTCTCTGTAGCCTTAGGAATAAGGACTATTGGACCAGCTATCTTTAGGACAGATAAATCTGTCTTCCAGTAGTCCAGTCTGCAGACCAAGGCTTATGTTAGGGATTTTTTTTTTTTAACTTTGAATTTCCCAATTGATTTACTATAGGAGTCTCTGAGAGAACAAATTCTCCAGTGTATTTAAAACTAGTCTGTTCTCAGAAAATCAGCTGAACTCTATGAATGTTGAGTTACACTATCTGCTGTGCTCAGAGTACTGTGTTGGGAAATTGAAGAGCAAGACAAGGCCCTTAAGCCTCAAAGAACCTTGTCTCACTGGCAAGAAGAGACATATTCCTGTGAAATAGGTAAATAACAGCAAGAGATAACAGTGTGATGAGCACCTAACTGGCAGGGCTGTTGAAATGTATGAAGCCTTCAGAAAAGGAGAGGCACTGATAACAGCGTAGTCCTTTTCAGTTTACCAGATGCTTTTAATACCTGTGGTCTCATTTAGAATATCTGTATAGGGTGGGGGAATATTCCGGGCCTCTCACCTAGCTAGTGGCAGATCCTGGTTTAAGTCTTAAGAATTCTGATTCCTCAGGTTTATTTAGAATCACAGACTTGTATCCTTTTGGGCCACTTGATAGAATGAAGTATAGTGCTTTTTGGCTAGGAGCTTATATTTAGAAATGTAGAATGTCTGTCCATAAAACTGCCCTGCTATTATTGTTAGTTTGTAATAGCAGAGTTCGGGTTTAGGAATAGTGTCTTACTGGAGACCCTTGAGAGTTGAAATTTGGAACAAAAAGAGCCCAAGAGATTGTTTTTGAAGTAGTGTCTCACTGGTTTTTTGAAAATGAGAATTTCAAAAGTGGTTTTTTGTAAGTGGAAGAAACTCTTACCTGCCTCTAAGCAATCACTTAGCATGCAGTTGCTGTAGATTACTTCTAGAATATTATTATATCAACATGATAGTTGTGTTTTCTTCTGTTGTCTAGTTTGGAGATTGTTAATGTGAATATAACTTCCATTTTAGAAATGGTGTCAGTGAATACTTGCCTGATGACAAAGTCTTCACTGTTTTTCTGTACTATCTGACGTCATGGGACCGAGCCATCCAGCTTCCACCTGTGTTCACCTGACATCCTGTACCCAAGAAGATGGGACAAGTGACCCCAGGAAACTTCAGACCCAGGTAGTTTTGTTTTTCTTCGGATGTTTATTATGAAATATTTCAAACACAAGGAAAAATTGAAAGAAGAGGACATTGAACACTTGAAATCACCTTCTAAATTCAACAGTTGTAGAGCCAGTCATGGTGGTGCATGACTGTATCCCAGTACTCGGGAGGCTGAGGCAGGAGGATTCCTACAAGTTTGAGGCCAACCTGGGCTATAGAGAAAGTTCAAGGCCAGCCTGGATTATAAAATGAGATCCTGTCTCAGAAAATAAAAAAAGACAAAAAAAAAAAGTCAAATTCAGCAGTTGTTAGCAATTTGTCCTATTTTCCTATCTCCCTAACCATCTCTAAAAGTTTTAGTGAACCATATCAAAGTAAGTAGCAGACCTCATAACACTTTACTTTTAAATGTTTAAGAATACTTATAAAAACCGTAGTACCATTATTAAATCTAAGAAAATGAACAGAAAATAATTTCCTGAAGTTATCTAATATCCAGGTTTTTTTTATTTTACTCAATTGACCCTAGAATGTCTTCTTTCCTAATACTGTATTATGAAAGGCTTCAAACATACAGCAGAGTTGAATTTCACATTAAACACTTAGATTCCCTTAATGTTTTCACTATATATGTTTTATTGTCTCTCCTTTGATCCATTAAGAGATTCATCTATCAATCCATTCCTTTTGACACATCAAAATCAATTGTAGATGTGATATAAGTACCCTACGTCTGCATATATACTGTATGTTTTTATTCATTCTTTGCCATTTTTTTCTTTTGATGTAAATTTTACGTCAAAAATGAGCACATTGAAATGTATACATCTTGTCATATTTACTGAGTTTTGATAAATACATGCACACATAACCCATATCTCTGTGAAAACACAAATCATTTATGTTACCCTAGAGAGTTCTCATGTGATCCTTCCTAGCAATCCCTACTCTTACCCTTTAGAGGAAACTATTATTTTTTCTTCCGTCATGAATTAGTTTTGCTTATTCTAGAACTTCATATAAATGAGAACTTGTAATATAAATTCTTGTGTGAGGTTTCTTTTACTAGTTATAAATATTTTGAGATTTATCTCAATATCTTACATTATCAGTTTCTTTGTTTGTTTTTAGTCCTTTTTACTAATTCCATAGTATGAGTGTACCAGTTTATTCATCCACTTGTTAACTGATGGACACCTGTGTTTCCAGTTTGGGGTTGTTGTATGTATAAAGCTACTATGAGCATTCTTGTACAGATCTTTTAGTGTGTGTGCCGCTAGGGATTGAACCTAGGCTTCATGCACACTGGGCAAACACTCTACCACTGAGCTACATCCCCAGCCCTTTATATTTTTTATTTTGAGATGGGTTCTGCCTAAGTTTCCCAGGCTGGCGTCAAACTTGCCATTTTCCTGCTTCTGCCTCACAAGCAACTGTTATTACAAGGGTGCATTGCCACATTTGGCTTCTGCAGATCTTTTTATGAACACATTTCCATTTCTCTTGAATAAATAACCTAAAAGTGAAATTAATTGGGTCATGGGGTAGGTGTATGTTTAGTTTTATAATAAACCATTGGACCTTTTTACAAAGTGATGGGACCATTTTACTTTCTGCTAAAACAATATGTGAGCACTCCACTTGCTCCATATCTTTGTCAATTTGCTGTTATCTTTTTAATTTTAGCCATTCTGGTGGTTATATAGTAATATCTCATTGTTTACAAAGAAAAATGTTTAATTTTAACATAATTTCAGACTGACAGGAGAACTTTAAGGCTATTACACAGAATTCCTGGACGTTTTTCTGGTAGATTCTCCAAGGACTAGAATTTTATTATGTATTTCCTTTCTTTATGCACATACTGTTTTCTGCACTATTTATATTTCAGACATGCTGCTCCTTTGTTCCTGAGTACTTGTGTCTTTCCTAAAAACAAGGAATTCTGTTACCATAATTATCAAAATCAGGAAATTAGCACTAAAATATACTATCATGTAAACTACATTTTTTTTTTTTTTGATGTTTTTTGGAGACAGGGTCTCGCTATGCAGTTCAGGCTGTCTTTGAACTCACTTTGTAACCCAGGCTGGCCTCGAACTTGCAACGATCCTCCTGCCTCAGCCTCCCAAGTGCTAGGATTACAGGCGTGCGCCACCACACCCTGCTATCATGTAAACTACAGACTACTGAGATTTTGTTAGCTGTAATATCCTTTAGAGAAAAAAAAAAAAAAAAATCCAAGGTGGTAAATTATAATCAATTCAATCCTGATTCTAGTTTCTTATAATCTGATTGATTTCTGAGCCAGTTTTTATGCTATGTAACATTGGCATTTTTGAAGAATACCAGCCAGTTTATTTGAGGATTTTCTATCAGTTTTGGTTTGTCTGATGTCTGTTCAATTATATTCAGATTGTGTACTTTTGGTAAGAAAACTAGAAATGCAATACTAAGTGCTTGTGCTGTGCATTGTGCAGTGCATTGTATCAGGACGTATATTGTGTCAGTGCTGGCAGTGTTGACTTTAATCATTTCACTAAAGCATTGTCTGCTAGGTTTTCTATTTTGTTCTTTTACTTTTTGAAATTAAAAGTATCTGCCTTTGAGACTATGTTAATATCTTTTTACTCATAAAACTTGGAGTTTTCTAGTTTTAGCATTCTCTGATGATTCTTTGAGTCAGTTTATTATTACAATTGTTGGCAAATGGTGATTTTCAGTGTCATTCTTTACATTTATTTGTTGGCTTACTGCTCTCAAGAAGAGCATGCCATTTTCTTATTTCACTGCAGATGCTTAGATTTTCTTTATCGTGTAGTTTATCATTCTTTATTATCATTATTTATTTTGATACCAAAATACTTATTTTGATGTTGGCCAATGAGAACCACTTCAAACTGGCCCCAGTGTCTCTGTGACTTAGTTCCATCAATCTTTTATACTACTTTATGGTATAAAAATATACTCCAGGCTCAGCTTGTTTTTTCCTCATGGCAGCCCTGAAATTAGCCACTTACTTAAGGAAACTTTGTCCCTTCAGTAGAGAATAAGATTTAAAAATCAGTACTAGGGTGATATATTTATTAATACTGGAGTGCTCCTAGGTCCCCTTAGAGGATGGTACTGGCAAATGGATTTTTATACGTGTATACACATTCATATGCAGATCCACATTCAGACATCTATGTCCCTGTCTCTCTTTGTATCTTTGCTTTTTTCTCTCGTGCTTTTCCTTTCTTTTTTTGAAACAGGGACTTGCCATGTAGTTCAGGCTGGTCTTCAACTTGCAGCACCTGAGTGCTGGGATTATAGATGTGAGCCATCACACTAGGTTCCACCTTTCCTTTCCATGTATCTATCTACTTTTCACACAGATCTCTCTAATTCTGATCCAGTATTCCATGTTTGTAACTCCCTTGTACTAAAGTGTGCAGGCTGGCTTTCATTATCCACAATACATTAATTTAATCACTTAATCCTAGAGTGTATAAAAAGTAATTTCAGAATTGCAGTGCATCCTGTGAAAAAACGAAGTCTATTATTATAGGTAAGCCCCCCTATTACTATGCTATCCTTCTTTTACTCTTTAAAATAAAAATTTAAAAAAAGTGAAATGTCACACATAAAGTTGAAACCCAGTGTCCTGTTTAAAAAAATAAAATAAATAAAAATAGAAGAAAACCCTAAAAATGAATACTAAGAGAAATCAATGAACCAGACTGAATTTCAAATGAACAACCACTCAATGTGAAGGTGGGAAAAAAAGTTAACTCCAATAAACTTCTGAATGTAGCATCTGGACTATATGTCCTGAGACTAAAGACAAAAAGTACTCTTAGCAAATATGGGACTCTCTTTGGAGACTTCGTTTTTGCACAGGATGCACTGCAATTCTGAAATATTTACAGAGAGAGTGGTAGGAAATTATCAATGGTTGTTGTTTTACATATTGTTATCTACAAGATAGTTTCTCAGGAAAACAAATAGACAGGTAATAGTTACAGACAAAAGTGGTAGGAGATTATCAATGGTTGTTGTACTATACTTTAGTATCTTCAAAGTGGTTTCTAAAGAAAATAAATAGAGCTAGCTATACATGAGTGACCAATTGAATAATCATTGACTATCTCAATGGTTGTTGTAGGAAACACATAGTAATAAAGATACATCCATTTATGAAATAGCATAAGAACAATACAAACATTACAGAGTTGTGGACAGAATAGTAGGAAAATATCAATGGCTGCTGTAATACATGGTAATATCTTCAGAGTGGTTTCTCAGGAAGACAGATACACAAGAAAGATCTAACAAGTAGTTACAGCCTAAGGGTTGTGAAAAATAACATAATACCTCCTCACCAGTGATTCCTTTCACTGAGGTGTGACGGCTGGAAGGAAGGCCAGGATTGAAAAGAAGGACCAAAAGACTTGCACCTGTGTCTAGCAACAGGCTGGTTTTTTTTCCTGTATAGTCATGATTGCCCAGGGCTCCTCCATAGAGATGGCAGTCTGGCCACAGGGAGAAGGCAGAGTATCCCCCAGGCCCCCTCATTCCTGTTGGACTAACTGGTAGGATGGGTCTGAGCTCTGGGGCCTCCACTTCAGAGGGCAGACCGATCTCCAGTGGTCTCATTTGCATTCAGGGCATGGCCCAGGGGGCTTCTTAGGGCAGTTCCTCTTGAGATGGCCTGGCTTTTAACAGCGGTAGCAGATGAATGCAGTCGTCAAGTTCTTCTTGGGGCCCCGAGAATCAGACTTAGGGTCTGTTTCTCTTAGCACTGCAGCAAAAGCAGCTGCTTTTTCTCAGTCTCTTTGTTTTCTCTCCTTGGTCTCCTCTTCGTCATGGCTATCGAATACTGAGGAGGCAATTCTTACTAACATCTCAAGTGAGCCATCTGGGGTGAAAGTCATTTTTTTGTAGCTTTTTCTCTCCAGCCTCCCATTGCACTGGGACCCCACAACCACTTAGTGTCCTGTCCCCAACCATCAGCACAGGCAGCAGGAAGCTCAGTGCAGACCTCTCTGGAGCTCCATACACTCCTCCAGCGCAACCTGTACTCTCTGGGGAAGAATGGCTTCCAGGGGGTCTCCCCAGGTATTGCACAAGGTCCTCCTGGTTTCCAGCTACCGAATGGCTTGTGTGACCCCAGTCAACTAGACCTCTTAGTCTTCGGGCATAGTCTGTATCTCATGTTCTCTGAATCCTTGTTCAGCAGCTGCTCCTCCACTGACTCTGGCCCTTTCTGGTTCTCAAGGGCAGGGGCAAGAGCAACCTGTTGTGTGGCATGTATTCCCAGGGGTTTCTTCGTGTCAGAATGATTCACACACATCCCTGGGTGAGCCTCCATGGTCCACATGTGGTGGACCAATTGTGTCATTGCTTCTCTGTGCCATGATAGTTCTCAACTACACAGTGGTGGCTGGCCTGAGGGCCAGCGCACGCAAGCGCGTGCTGCTATGCAGCTTCCCAGTCACTGGCTGCCCGCCTCCTGGGCCCCTGTGTAGCTAGGGCGCAGCCCAAAGGCGGGTGCTTCCCACCGCCCAGCTTCCCGGGTGCTGGCTGCCTGCCTCCCGGGTGCCTGTGCAGCTAGGACGCGGCCCAAAGGCCAGTGCTCCCCACCGCCTGGCTTCCTGGGCCCAGGCGGCCCACCTCCTTGGCGCCTGCATGGCTTGGGCATGGCCCACAGGCCGGTGCTCACCGCCTGTGTGGCTTCCCAGGCGCTGGCTGCCTGCCCCCCGGGTGCCTGCGCGGCTAGGGCACGGCCCAAAGGCCGGTGCTCCTTTTCTTCTATTTTTAAAGATTTTGTTTATTTTCTTCCTTCCTTCTTCCTTTCACTCATTTCTTTGTTTTGTTTATGTATTTCGTTTATATGTGAAATACTAACATGGATCCAAATATGCCTGTATAAAAAAAATATATTTGGAAAAGTGTCCTCCACCCCATTTTTTCTATCCTTTCCACCCCATTTCTTCTATCCTTTCCACCCAATTCTCACTCATATCTTGTAGATAACTAATCTCATCAGTCTCAAATTTATTTCCTGTGTTTTTGTTTTGTACAAATGATGAAGTACATGTATATTTTCTCTCATGTCTCCTTTTCTCCTTACATATATCTGTAACGCAGATATTTTTGGGTTTTGTTGTTCTATTTGCATAACATATCCAAGAAACTTTCATATCAATTCACAGAGAGGTTCTTAGAAAGCTTCCTCATTTTTTCCATTGTAGTAGTAACTTTGTTGCTATACCACAGTTAATTCAGGTATTTGTATGGGCATTTAGATTGATTCCAGTATCCTCTAATTATGAGCAGTACATTGTAAGCAGTCCTGTGCATATGTATTATTGAAGGTGTATCTGTGGGTTCAATTCTAGGAGTGAGATTGCTAGGTCAAAGATAAATGAATGAATTCACCCAGACTCCTCCCGACTGAGAGATGTGCCAGTTTGCCTTCTGCTAGCACTCGCTGACAACACATACTATTATACTTTTTAATTTTTGCTAATCTTTTGGGAAATATTTGATTGTCATTTTAATTTGTATTTTATGAAGTTGAACAGTTTTTCATATATTTAAGGGCCACGTTTATATCTGTTTTTCCCATTTTCTGTTGGGTTTCATTTTCTCATGTCAATTTTTAAAGATTTCTTTATGGATAGGGAGCCCTTGTGAAGAAGTCAGCAATATACTACATAGCAAGTATCTTCCTTTGCTGTTGTTTGCTTCCTGTTGTGTTTGTGGTGTTACCAAACCCAGGGCGTAGTGCATGCTAAGCAAGTGCTATACCACTGAGCTACCAGGAAGCCCTTCTGTTATGATTTAGATCCAAAATGTCTCCCAAAAGGAGGTGGGGCTTTTGGAAGGTGATTGGATCATGGAGGTGATACAGTCTTCAGTGGATCAATGGAATGAGTTCATAGTTGACTGTGCTATGCAGATGTGAGTCTGGTCAGAAGAGGCAGGTCACTGGGGATGTGGTCTGAAAGGGTATATTCTGGTGCATGGCTCCTCTGTCTCTCCTTGCTTCCTGCTACCATGGTGTAAGGGGCTTTCCCTTGTGGTGCTCTCCACCATGCTGTCTCTGCCTTGGAGCCAGCTGACCATGGATTGAACTACCGGAAGCTGAGCCAAATAAACTTCTCCTCCTTTAAGTTGTGTATTTTGTTCCAGAGTTGAGAAAGTGACTAATACATCTTTGTATTTGCAAGTTCTTTCATTCTGCTGTTTCAGATGGTTGTTGTTACTGTGTTTGTTTGTTTTACTTTATTATTTATTTAAACCAGGGGTTTTAAATTTTGTTTTAATGTAGTCGTCGTAATTGCTCTTTTCTTTTTCTTTTATTGAACATGGATTTTGAGTCATAGTTAAAGACTTTTCCTGCATCCACATGAAGAATGAATTCATCTGTTTTTTCTCCTAGTACTTTATCTATTTTTTCCCATGGTATTTTATCTACTTTTTCCCTAGTACTTTCATGAAATTTCTGAGGTATTTTAGGTTATTTTTGCTTTCAGAGAAAAAGCTTTCCCCAAATAAGGATACAAGTTTCAAGTAGTGTTCATCAGTCTGTGCGCCCTTTAGATTTTTCTAACTGTGAAGTTTTTTACTACATTTTTTTCCCCAAATATTTTTCTAATGTTTTGTGACAATGGTTTATTTAATTTAATTAATTAATTTATTTATTTATTGGTTTTTGTTTTTTTTTCTGGTACGGGAATCGAACTCATGACCTTGCGCTTGCCAGGCAGGCACTGTGCCGCTGAGCTAAATTCCCAGCCCCTGTTTATTTATTTTTTGAGACAGGGTCTTGCCATGTAGATCAAGCTGGCCTTGAACTCTCGGCAGTCCTCCTGCCTCAGCCTCCCAAGTGCTGAGATTGTAGGCCTGCACCACCACACCCAGTCTAACAGTGGTTTATTTTAAATCGAGTTTTCATTCACATTATTATATAAACACATGCATAGTGAGAGTTGGGGAGCCATCATCAAGATAAAGCATCATAAAACAGAATTCAATGAGTTTGGAGACATGGATTCTCCTATTCACATGTCTTTGACAGGTTCATTGAAGTAACGTAAGAAATTTAAAGCCACAGGATTGTTTATTCCCTTTGTCATCCTGGTAATCCCAGATAAGATCATTTATCCTAATGAAGTAATTTGAAAGGAGAAATAAAAGTCTAAATGTATGGAGATATTAACTGAAGTAATATTTCTATTACTGGAAAAACTGGAATAATGTAAATGTTTAATAATAAGATATTTAGGTTAAGCATGAAAGACCATTCTTTGGCTTTTGGAAAATGTAGCTCTGAAAAATATTTTTTTAAAACTATAGGAATATGGGGACATGCTTAGGTTGAACTGTAAAAACAACAAAGGTTGTATCTATTTTGATGAAAACTAACTTAGATCTGCATGTGTGTGGGTAAGTGAACTGTTTAGAGGAACACGTAGGTGCAGGACAAAAGATATAGAAAGTGTCATCAAATAACTTCAGTCTGGTGTGCCTGGTACATGTGTACAGCAGTTTTTAGAAAAGCTCTACTGGATTGTATTGGTGACTTGCTAGACCCTGACATGTTGAAACAAGACAGAAACCCATAGTTGGGAGTTGAAGAATATACTGGTTGCTGCTAGAAGCTTTCCAGGCTGACTTCGAGGAAGATCCCAAGTTGATAATAGTAAACAGAGGGATAATAGTGTGGGACTGGGTGATTGCAGGGAAAACCACATGCTATATGTTGAACTAAAGTGTGTAGGAAAGTGGCTAGTTAGTACAGCAGAAAAATACCTCTTCACATAAATAATCTTGTGGGTGAAATATTAGAAACTTGGTTATACATATGTGCCAACTGTATAATACGTTATTTTTCTAATATGTGCTTACATTTATTTACTATTTTAAAGAACCAGCTGCAGTTTAACAGGAATGTTCCTACACATCCAAGCAACTTGGCCATCCGGTATTCTTGTCCACATGGAATTAGAATTGAAAAACTGAAGCACTCATATAATGAATCATATTATAAAGACTCAGATTTTAGAGATGGTCCTGACCTAAGCAGTTCTGTTTCATTTTCTGTAATATCAGAAGAGAAACTTAGCTATGCGGTCCACCTAGCCAAAAGAGATGTAAAACGAAGACAATTTGAAGAACATTATCTCAGAAGTCAGCCCCAAAATTCTCAGAAATGTGGACATACCAAGTATAAAATATCTGACCACAGGATAGAACGGAAAGACTCAAAGAATCAAGAAGTCCATCAACGCACCCACCAGCCATCTGAAGTAGGAATTTCCAGCTCAGGTGCCAAAGTGTACGTGTATACATCTCACCATGGACAGTCAGATCTTACCCTCCCAAATTCGCCACCTACTCGTGATCCAGGACCACATCCACAACCGAGGATAGGTGACCAGAAAAACTTACGTGAACAGAAAAGCCTGCTAGAAGTTCAGCGACTCCAGAAAGAATTGAGCAGTTGTATCCATAAAATTGAAGAGGTAACTAAAAAAGGTGAGAAAAACGGAATGCTTCCTTTGATATGATGCCGTGTGTACATAATAGTTCAGATGCATTCGTTGGGCCTCCCAGTCCCCCACACATTTCATTGCATTCTCCTATATGTTGGTTCCCTAGAACATGAGCATTCGTGACAAGATGGTTGAGTTTGGAATTTGACCAGTGCCACCTTTCTCTGAAGAGTTTGCCCTATTTAACAACCCCCCGCCCCCCACACACACATATTCGTACTATGGGCTGTGCAACATATGTGGAGTGACTGAGGGCCCAGCCTACAAATTCGAGTTCCTGCTATGTAAACCTTACAGAGTGCAAATGATCCTATATTTTTTCCTTGTTTAGCCAAAAGTCCTTGTGGCAAAATTGTTTTTAATTTCTAGTAAGAGAATATTGTATACATGTATATATGTAGATAGATAGACAGATAGATAGATAAAACCATTCCTACTTGGGAGGTGTTAAGATGGGTATGCACTGGTGACAAGGGAAGCTGTGGCTATTTGTATAAGATATCTGACCACAGGTAGAAAGGAAGGAATATAGTCCTCATCTCCTATTTTCTGAAATTCTTTAATGGTCTCAGTGCTTTTGTGTTTACGTGGGGAGTAGAGGATGGTTCTGCACAGGGAGTTTGTGGTTACTGTAGCCAATAAGTAGGACTTCAAGCTCAGCTTTCAGACTGCACGGAGTAAAGATTTGAGTTTCAGTAGGAACTGTTGTATTTGTATAGTACATAGTCTACAGTGATATTTTGCATTTTAAACTTCACTGATATGTGCATATGTATATGCGTGCATGTAATATAAAGAATGTAAGGTACCTTAAAGTATCTGTTGATTGAGACAAGATAGAACTATGCATCTGAGGATATCGTATAGGAAGAATAAGGAAAGGAAAAAGATTTACTAGGAGAAGATTGCAGATTTGTTTCTGAGTTTTCTAGGAGCTAGCTACAGACAGAACTATGATCAGAGTTTATAGAATCTAGCATCAAAGACACAATTGTGTAAAAATGACAACCTCCAAATACTGTGGCCAGAAAAAGGTTTCTCTGAGGTTTTCTTTAGTAGTGTGTTGGTATAATGTCACAAACAAAACATTCCGTAGGAAGTAACAAAAATGCTGTGGCTTATTTCTTACTATATTTCTCAGTGTCAGTCCATGCCATGACTCCACCATATGCTTTAGGTTAGAATCCCTGCTAGGAGGGAACACCACCACAAGGCTCTCTACTCGTGATCAGATCTAACACAGGGACCTTTAAAACAGCTTCTCAGGTTCGCTGTGGGGAAGGATTGGGTTGGCTTATTTATTTAAAATTTCAATCGATCATGAAGCAGTACTTTGTAAACTATAATAAAAATGTCACAACCATGGCAAATTGCTATAAAGACATGTAAATGCATACTTTCAACTTCCACACTTACCTTGTTGTGGGTAGTAATAGTTGGCAGTGGCTCCTAGCTGCAGACCACCCTTTCATTAGCACTGAAGTGCCCGTTCACGCTTCCCAAGTGCTGCTTTATAGACTGCTTACAATAGAAGAACCTGCAAGTTGAACACACAAACCCTCCTAACCAAGCCAGTTCTTACTTATATTCATGTATGGAGCCTCATTTTCTCCCCAACAAGATGCAGCCCAAGCAAGAGCTAGAATTAATTTGGTTTATAGCCTCTGATGAGACTGCATCTGTATGTCCCACCCCTGACTTCAAATATACTTGGCTTCAAAGCAATCTTATTCTTCTTGGTTGACTTTTTTTTTTTTTTTTTTTTTTTTTTTGCTGTTGGTGATGGAACACAGGGCCTTGCATAAGCAAGACAAATGCTTTACCAGTGAGGTATATCTCTAGCCCCCTTGTTTGATTTTTTTTAATGAGTATATAATACAAATTGAACTCATAAAATGTACTCGTACTAATAAAATACTGCATTCATTTGATTTGTGTTGGAGTTTTTAAAAAAAAATTTCTATAAGCATTTATTTATATAAGACTGAATGGAATGGATAGACAGACAACTTCAGGGAATCTTCCAGAAAAAATTTCTTTGGACCATTCTTGTAAACATGTGGAGCACTCATGTGTGCAAGGGTATGTTTCCTGATAAATACATTGAGACTTCAGACTGTAAGTAATTTTAGCACTTGATGTCGTACGGTTTTAGGGAAAGCATTTCTATAAATAATAATCTAATAAGATAATCTTGCCAAACATAAAAATAAATAATCCTGCAGTTCACAAACACTTCTGTTTGGAAACAGTTTGGTTTGCAAACAAAAGCATTCAGCAGCATTTTGCTTCTATTCTCAAAATTCCACAGCTGTCTTCCTCACACAAACACAAATGCAGCCGTCTTCCCCCAAATCACAAAACACATTAAGGTTGTATATCGAAGTACCAGTGTAGCTTAAGAAAGAGCTTTTGGAAAAACAGCATAAAATGGTACAAAAGGCTTCACAGTGAGGAAGCCATCCAGCGGGATTAGGCTGAGGGAATTCTGGTGTGGAGAGGAGCTTGTCACTGAGTCTTGCCCGGCTGTGTCCATTCCCGAGTGCGTACACAGCTCCACTTGCTCATCCCTGGTTTCCTCACTGGTGAGAAATGAAATGTTCTGTTACAACAGCCTCATTTCTTTCCCTAATAAAACCAGAGATCTGCAGCTTTATTGCCCTTTAGGTAACCAAAGTTTTGTAAGTGTCTGTGGATGGTTTATAATTTGCTTTTGGGGAAAAATATTTTCAGATAGACTAGAAGCAGCTTTGGATCCAGATGAAGAGCAGCGGATGCGTGTCAGGAGACAGGAGCAGACTGTTCGCTGTGCCCGGATGCTTTATGTCCTCCAGCAGCAGGTGTGCAAGCCCAGGGAGAAGTGGGGCAGTCAGCCTTGTGTGTTGCTTTTTTAGAGAATTTCAGCTTTCTTTTTATCTCAGAAAGATTTTTCCCAAACTGCTCTACGTGAACTCTAGTGGATTTTTGAGGTTAAATTTCCTGAACACAGGAACAAGTAATTCTCATCCTTTCTGCCTTTACATTTGTGTGTTTTTTGTGGAAAAGGCCAGTCTCCTCCTTAAACAATGACTCTTAACTCTTTGAGGTGATAGACTCTTAAAAATCTAGTAGAAGTTGTATTTCTTTCCCCTTTCAAAAACATGCATGTGGACTGGGGATTTAGCTCAGCGGCAAAAGCGCCTGCCTAGCAAGCGCAAGGTCGTGAGTTTGGTTCCCGGTACCGGAGGGGGGGAAAGAAATGCATGTACTGTATATTACATAGCACATACTTACATGTGTGAAGTCTGGTTGATCAGTTACCCTGAAACGCTTGGTCCTCAGGTGCAAGCCCTGGTCTTTGTGGAAGGGGCCTTATTAGTTTCCCTTCTGTTCACGGGCTTATTACTAGAAACTTAGTAGATAGCATATTTTAATTATTCCTTATTACACAGTAAAGAATGTGGCTGGGCACAGTGGCACGTGCCTATAATCCCACCATTCTGGGAAGCTGAAGCAGGAAGATTGAAAGTTCAGCCTGGGAAACGTAGCATCTTAGCAAGACTCCATCACAGTCAGTCAGTCAGTCAGTCAGTAAATCAAGAAAAAGGAAAAGACAAGGGATGTAGTACATCTGAAGGTTCTGGGTTCAAGCCCCAGTACTAAAAAAAAAAAACAACAAAAGCCAGTTTATAAAGAGTGGGGACCGTGTTAAATGTCTTTTAGGACCTATATAGTGGTTGATAAATAAGCATTTACATTGTTTCTGTTGTGATGAACTTTTAAAGGAAAAGTTTTTTTTAACTTTAATGACTTATTTGTTAAGAAGCTTTTAACACCTTTCTGGTCACTGAAGTCCCATGTTATTTCATTGCTTGAACCAAAAACTATTTTCTCATTTGAAAGAAAGTGCCTGAGTTAGATTCTGTTCTGTATTCTTGTTTGAATTCCATTTTGGTCCTTAGTCCCTGCTTCTGCCATAGAGATTATTATAAAATCTGAAACTTACCATGTTAGACCACTGTTTAAATGACTAGACTTGCTTTCTGTAACTTAGAGGATGAAAGCTGAATTCTTCAGCATGGCATGTAGGACGTAATGGTCTGGCCCCCTGCCTTTCCAGGGTTACCTCCACCATCCCTCCTTCATGTTAAGTTCTTCTGACACTGGGGACCAAAGGATAGAAGGTGAACACTGCTCTGTTTGCCATCTTGAACTGGAGCCTTTTTTCATTGTCAAGTGACTTGAATTAATAATGGTTATATTTGGACGAAACAGCTGTGCAATATTCTACCAAAAATAGAAACAGACCAATGGGAAGGTGTGAAGTATTCATTTTTCTTGTTTGTAAAACAGGTAAAAGAAATCCAGGAAGAACTGGATAAATTGAGTCCACATACAATTAAACACACCAAGAAGGTATGATGTAATCTTATAAAGTATGTTTTCATGTTTTATTAGTACTGCATATGGGTTCCCCACACTCATGTTATTTCACTGATGGTAGAAACCTGTTAAGAGAGTAAGCACCTTAAATATTCTAAAAATGGAGTTGCTTTCTAAGGATTGAGTTCTGAAAATAGATTCCTACTGCTGCTAGTAAAAATAACAATAAAAAGGAAAAGACTACTGGGTATGGTGGCACACACCTGTAATCCCAGCACTTGGGAGGTTGAGGCAGGAAGATCACTGATTCAAGGCCTCTTGGAGCTACATAGTGAGTTCAAGGCCAGCCTGAACTATGTAGTGAGACATAGTTATCGCAAACAAAACAATGGAAAAGTTGTAATTTATTATTTTAAAACTCTAAAGGTGAAGCTTTACAATCCCTTAAACTATGAAAGTGTTTGCACAGTAGAAAGCACTTTACATACAGGGTACACTATAAAGGTTGAAGGTTGGGTTAATGTTAGAAAGTTCTGAATATTGGCACAACTTCTCATATCTTGTTTATTTCTAGTCATGGGCAATGTCTAGGCTGGCGGCTGCCCATCGAGGAGCCATTCGGGCCTTACAGATGTTTGTCACTCAATTTACTGACCGAGGGGAGCACCCAATTCCTGCTCGGTGTAGGGAACTGGGCAGCCTTATTCGTCAGCTTTCACTTTGTTCTGCCAAGCTGGATGCCAATCCTTCCATCCCTGATGTGGTTATAGATATCCTACAACAAATTGAGGTATGAAATTGACTCTGATTTTTAATGAAAGTATATTGTTTTTAAGCAGAGAAGTAATGCTTGTGGTCATTAGTTTCATTAGAACTTTAATTTTAAATTTAAGCTTTTAAATTTTAAATTTAAGTAAATTTAATTTTAAATTTAAGTAAATTTAAGCTTTCCAGTCATGTTTATACTGTTATAGCTCACTACTTTGAGAATTGTTCATTTTAAGACAACTTTTAACCCACAATGAATATATTCATTATATATTGCAAACTTAAAAAAAAACACAACTCTTAACCAGGTCCATCAATTATGCAGAAATGTTCCATTCCTTGACCATGCCGTTTAATAGAAAATTTATTCATATAGAAAAGGAAGCAGGGGGCTGGGGATTTAGCTCAGTGGCACAGTGCCTGCCTGGCAAGCGGGAGGTCATGAGTTCAATTCCTGGTACCGGAAAAAAAAAAAAAAAGGCAAAAGAAAAGGAAGCAGCAAAGCATTCTCAGATTAGTACTTAAATCTGAATGTCAATGTTTAATATAGATACGTTATAGAAAAGAAGAAATATTTAAAGATATATGCAAGCACAGCCTTAGAGCTTGAGATAAAACCCAGAATTTCTGGAAATCACAAGTGGCATGGACTAGTTAGGAATAGACAGTGTTCTTAGTTCTCATTGGTGACAATGACAGCAGTAACAATATGCCTTTAATTTTATAGTTCCCTGCAGTTCTCAGAGTGCTTCTACATAATTATGCCATTTCATCCTTACTGCAGCACTGTAATTTTCAGTTGCTTTTATTACTACTGTGTTATAGATTAAGATTTTTAAAAAGTAGCAAAAGCCAGAGAGGTGACACAGTTACTTCTCTTAGGATCTGGAAATGAAATTCCTATTTTCTTTCTTTAGTGCCGGCGTTATTTCCACTATGCCATACATTTCATTCACAGATAAAAAGATTGTGTTGGTGTGACATAGTAAGCTGTTAGCTGTAGAAGAGTGACGGTTTAGTGGGGACAATTCTGTGCTTAAGTAGGCCTTTAGTGGTCTTAAAACTTGCTTCTGCCTTTACAGTTCCATTATCCAGCAAATACGTGTGTGATTTGCTTTGGTTACATTTGTGTAGGAAGGACTCAGTACGAAGAATGTTATCAAATGCAGAACTTTGGCAGCATGTCAAGTCATGAGTTATTTTTGGAACTATTCATAGGAAACATATGTTGGCCAAAATGATTTCATTTAGAAGATGTATCTTCTTAATCCTAGAAAGGATTTCAAGAGTTTATCTAGTCTTCCCAAATTTTGAGCCAAGAGTACTTTTAACATGTTTCTAAAGTAATAGTGCAAGAAATTAGTCTTTCTGATTGATTACTATATCATTTCATAGCTTAATATCTTACCTTATTGTCATCTGAATTCCACCTCTGTGGCTATGTTTAGTTGTCCTTAATTTGTACTGACCAGGGAGAGACTAGGCTCTTACTGAGCAGGTAGGTACTTATTAGAGGCTATGCCTCTTTAGGACAGCGGGACACAGATCTCTTGTCGTTACTGTGATAGACAGGTAACCAGAGCCGTTGGACCTGCTGAATTTCCTTTAGCTTATAAAAATATATGTTAGTTTATTAAAGTGTATGTTTGCCCACTTAAAACTACTTGAGTTCATGGGTTTCTGTTGAAAATTAAAATGTTTTTAAAGCATACAGGATTATATTCCAAAGGTTGTAGTTTCTAAAATGATTATCCTTAATTTTAAGATTTGGATTTCTTTAAAAATAATCATGTTCATTACTCTTTACTGTTGGTTTTAGTAAGCTAAACATGTAAAAGAACTTGGAGAAATTATTTTTATTAATTAGATGTCCTTAATAATAAACATTTTAAACTAACATTTTGTTAACCATTACAGATAGCAGTTTCAAGGGGCTGGGGATTTAGCTCAGCGGCACAGTGCCTGCCTGGCAAGCTCAAGGTCATGAGTTCAATTCCCGGTACCGGAAAACAAACAAACAGATAGCAGTTTCATAACCCATTTCTCTAAAGTCTTTATTTCTTCTATTTTATAACTAAAAGTCATACCTTTATATGATAAACTAGAGGAATAATAGATTGTTTCATTTCAGGCTTTGGAATCTCTCCTGGAAAAGAAACTGTCACCAAAAAAGGTGAAGAAATGTTTCAGTGAAATTAAGAGCCAATTTCCTGTTGGTAGCCAAAGGATACTAGAAAAATGGCCAAGGACATTGCCAAAGAGTGAGAGGACACTCTCTATAGCAAAGGAGACATTTCCACAGGAAGCAAGTCGACCTTCAGTGGTAAAGAAGCTTCTTGTTGGTATGTATCTTACAGTGTTTACTGTGAGGTGTTTTATTCTTTGAAATTATCTGGGCTGTAACAGTTACTCCATTGAGGGGAAAACCAGGAATTAGAACCTAGTCCATAATAGCCGCATTTTTAACTAGAATCAGTAATATCAAACAAGATGCTTCCTTAGGTTAGAGGCTAGAGTATTCTGTAGAGGAGTGCGAAGAAAGGAAAATTCTCTTTTCTCGTATCATAGGATTGAGTTTATTTTGTACATGTATACGTATATGTATATGTGTATATGCATGTATGTGTGTGTGTGCACATGTCAGGATGTGGGTAAGGGGCTGGAGATCAAATCCAGGGCCCACACATGCTAGGCAAGTCATCTACCACTCAGCTATACTCCCCTTCCTAAGTTTATTATATTTTAATGGTAAATATACAGTATACACATACGTACATACATTTGATATATGTGTACTTTTTTCACGTAAGTAGCATCTTCTTACTATTCCAAGAGATGGAATTGCTAGGATATAGATGATGCATTTAAACAGATACTAACTGCTTCACACCTTAAAAGTGGACATACAATTGTTTTAATTGGTAGTACCAATAGTATATATTTTCTCATATTCTCCCTGCATACTTTATATGATAAAATACAAAAATTTTTCCAGTCTCTTGGTAGAAAATGGTGTCTTATTGTTTATTTTGAGTTTCTTGATTCTAGTGAGGGTTATTTCTTTCATGTCTTCGTTTCTTTAATGTTTATTTTACCTGTTGTGATTTGCCTACTTATATCCTTTATCTCCTTGTAGGATTGTAAGTTTTTTGCTTATAGATGTATAGAAGTTCTTTATATATTTTGGACCTTATCTTTTTATTTGGCTTATACATGTTACAGATATTTTCTCCTAGTCACTTGTTTTTGAAACTTACGATTCTTTTTTTCTGGTACAGAAAATTTTAATTTCATAGGCAAATTCATCAATCTTTCTTACCTAGTTAAATATTTGATAAGATAATTCACTTTGTTCTTTTTAAAAATTTTATTGATGGTCATTGCTCATCTTCCTGAGTAATTTCGAATGAGTTTGTCAAGTTCCATGAAAAATGCTGTGAGGGTTTTGATTGGTATTGCATTGAGTTTATAGGTTAATTGGAGAAGTGACAAGTTCACAGTCTTCTTATACATTTATTCATGCTCTTATTCTGTCCTTTCAGTTCAGTTTTATAATTTTCTGCATATAAACTTTAGAAATTCTTTGCTATATTTTATAGTTTTTATATTTTATAGTTTTTATTGCTATTATGGTCTCTTTGTTATGAAATTAGTATTGCTACTTAAGGAAAACTGTTGGATTTGTATATTACTGAAAAGGGCATTATTCTAAAATCTTTTATGATACTATTTTTGTTGGTTCTGAGGTACACAGTGGAACATTTTTGAAATTGCAATTTGTTCTAGACTGATGACATCTTACAATAATCCTAACATTTTACTTCTTTTTGTGTGTGGTGTGGGGATTGATCCCAGGGGCCTCACCCATGCTAGGCAACTCTACCACGGAGCTATATCCCTAGGCCAATTTTAAACATTTTAAAACAACACTTTAAAATCCCTGTTTTGGGGGTGGTTTTATTGGACAAGAGGAAAGTAATAAAGGGAGAAGATATAAAGAAGGGTAATAGAGGGGATGGATATGGTGAAAACATATTATATGCATTTATGAAAATACCACATTTAAATCCCATTTTTATAAAATTAAATGCACTAATAAAATACATTAAAAAATAGAATACCTACAATACATAATGATGTTTTAGATTTGATGAAATGTTATTTTATTAGTTAATTCTTATATCTTTTTCAAGATAGATCAGATCACCAATAAATAAATATGGACAAATACAGAAAGCTGGCTTTCTTTTTTTTTTTTAATATATTTTTTATTACTACAAATTAATTTTAAAACATATTGGGTTTCCCTGGGGCATTTTCAAATATGTATATAAATGTGTTGATCAAATCCATTGCCATTATTTACCTCTCTTACCTCCTCGTCTTTCTTTCCCTATATGCCCTTCCTCTTGCTCAATAATCTAATAATCTACTCTCTACTTTTTTTTTTTTTTTGTCTTTTCAGACAGGGTCTCACTATGTAGTTTAGGCTGGCTTTTAAACTCACTGTGTAGCCCAGGCTGGCCTTGAACTTGGGGCAATCCTCCTGCCTCAGCTCCCAAGAGCTGGGATTACAGGCATGCGCCACCACGCCTGGCCACTGTTTTTTATTGTTGGTCATACAGATTAATGGATTTCATTTTGAGAGATACGTGCGTGCTCATAACATACTTTGATCCTTTTCACTCCACCATCCCCTCCCTGCCACCCTTTCCACTAGTTTTGTATTTTGTGGGGCCTGTTTCAATACATAACATATATTTTGCTCATCACCATTCCATCACTGCCTGCCTTTCACCCCTTCACGCCCCTCTTCTTCTCTAATAATAGTCTCCCTTTTACTGTCTTGGATTTTGTGCGACACTCTGTTTGTCTTTCCGAGTCTGGCTTATTTCTCTCAATTTGATGGTCTCCAGATCCATCCATTTTTAGTTTTCCTGTTTTAACTTAAGTAGAACATACCATCAGAAAAGTATACTCCGTATACATTTACAGCTAAATTAATGCCGGAAAACAAAAACTTCTCTGTCATTGTTATCCAAATCAAGAATTGAATGTAATTGCCACCCCAAAATTTCCTCTTATTCCTTTCCCTTCAGTCTTTACCCCGTCATTTTTCCACAGAGTATTACTATGATGATTTAATTTTTAAAAAAATTTCTTGTAGTGCTGGGAATTAAACCTTAGGCCACATACATGCTAGTCAAGTTCTTTCCCACTGAGCTATAGCCCCACTTATAATACTTTCCTCCCCCTGTGGTACTAGGGTTTGAACTAGGGCTTTTTGTGTTTTAGGCAGACACTCTCCTGCTTCTTATTTTGAGACAGAATATTGCTAAATTGCCATGCTGGCCTCAAACTTGTTATTCTCCTGCCTACCCTCTTGAGTATATAGGATTATAAGTGCCTATCATGCCTGCCCTTTGTGATAATTTTTAATGCCATATTTTGGTTCTGCCTGATTAAAAACTTCACAAAAATGGAATTACACAGTAAGTTGTTTGGGGATTGGCTTCTTTTATTTCATCTGTTTGTGTAGTTGTGATTAGTTTATGATCATTGATATATTGTATTTATTCCACTATATGACTATATCACAGGTTAACTATTTTATTATTTTAATCATTGGGTTATTTCCAATTATAAGGATAACTTCTATGATTATTCTTACATATGTCTCTTGGTATCTATGTGCATGTCCTTTTGTAGACCATGTTCCCAAGATTATAGTTGTTAGGTAGGTCACAGGTACATGTTTGTTTAAGGGTAATATATAAAACATTCTTTTCAAAGTAATTTTATTATTTTGTATTCCTGCCAACAGTGTTTAAGAACATTGGTTACCCATACTTTCTAGTACTTGTCATTATTAGTTTTTTAAATTTGGTATAAAGGCTGTTGTTTTGGTTTTAATTTACATTTTCTGTATACTCAGTAGTTTGAGCAATTTTCATCTATTTATAGGCCATTTAGATATCTTTTGTGAAGGACCAGTTCAAGTTTCTTGCCATCCCTCCTCTCTGTATCCCTCTCTTTTTTTTGAATCAGGGTCTTGCTAGCCTGAACTCACTATATTGTCTAGGCTGGTCTTGAACTTGTCGCAGTCCTCCTGCCTCTTGCTCCTGAGTGCAGGGATTACAGGTGTGCACCACCATGCCTGGCTCTTTCTCTGTCTCTTAAATCTGTTTCACTTTCTCTTTTTTCCTTTCTTCATCTCTCTCATTTCTCTCCCCTCTTATCCTTCCTTTCACTCTCTTCCCCTCCCTCCTTTTTTCCTCCCCTCCCTCCTCCTTTTCTCTCCTCTTCCCTCTCTTGCAGTACTGGGAATGAAACCCAAGGCTTCATGCATGCTAGGCAAGTGCTCTACCACTGAGCTGTATCTCTAGTTTCTCTCTCTTTTTCATTGATTTATAGTTTATTTTTGTATAAGTATTCTGTGTATGAACCCTTTCTTAGTTGTATGTGTTATAAATATCTTAGAAATAAGCTAATTCTTAACTCCTCTGTAGTTCAATTAATCATTCTTTCCCTATTCTTTGTTTTCTCTATTTTTCTTTTTTTTTTTTTTTTTTTTTTTGGTTTTTCTCCGGTACCGGGAACCGAACTCATGACCTTGCGCTTGCCAGGCAGGCGCTTTTGCTGCTGAGCTAAATCCCCAGCCCCTCTATTTTTCTTTTTATATCCTTAAGAAGCTTTCCTCTGTGTTAAGGAGTCCATTTTCTATGTTTGTTTCTAGAGACATACCATTTTCTTTCAAATGAAAATGCAGATGACCTGGCCCTATATGTTGAAAAGGTTATTCTTCCTGCAGTGTGGCATGCAGTACCACTTCTGTCAGAAACCATGTGTCCCCCATACACAGGACAGTTTCTGGGCCCTCCTTTCTTTTCCTTTGGCCTAAGTACTGGTTTTTATGCCAGTGCTGGACTATTGAATTATTCTAAGTCTTAATACCCAGTAGTAACTTATCATACCTGTTCTTTTCCCAGAGTGTCCTGGCTAGTCTTACCTGTTGGCGTTGCCATAGAAGTAGTAGAATCAGAATTTACTAATTTCTGCAAACATCCTTTCCAACTCCCAGAAGACAAAAAATATATTGTTGAAATTTTGATGGAGAATTGGTATCTTTACAGTCTTCAATAGGGTGTGTCTGTAGATTTATTTAAGTTGTTTTTATATAGTCTCACATATATGTGCCTGTGTGTGTATGCATATGATCTTGTTCATATTTCCTTAGATTTATTCCTTGGTATTGGTATCTTCAATACCCTTACAAATGGTGTCTGTTCAAAAATTTAATTTCTAATACTTATTATTGATAAATAGATATACAGTTGACTTT